TCCTTATACGCAATGTGGTGCCCCCAACAAAGGTCAGGAAGAGAAAGTTTCTGGGAAGAGGCCAACACATTTCACAATGAATCCCTAAGGTACTTCAGTTAATCTTCAAACTCCATGAATGAGATCAATTACAAGACCCCTTCCTGTATATACATTTCTTGGCCCAAATAAGTATTGAGATGGATTCTCTCCTCTGCGCCTAGGAAAGCCTCCAAAGAACATTTCTTGCATCAAAGAAGAGGACTAGCCTCCATGTGACAGTTTTCCTTGCCATGCAGTAAATATGTTACTGACCCACTTCCTGCCTGGCCTTCCTGAGTTGATTGTTTTGTGTTATATATCCAGTATGTCTAGAATTGGGCTTTATATGACATTTCTTATGTAAACTGCAGGCTGTAAAATAGAAGACAGTGCCTTGAGTTTGATGCAAGCTGGGATGACTGTGCTAATGTTTTTTGAGGCCAATATGACTGAAAAGGTTAAGAATGTAGCTTGATGGAGGTGATACATCTCTCAAATCATTCCAGTGCCACCCTGAAATCATGCTTCCACATCTTTTTATTTTCTATATAGTACCAATTCCCCTGATTTAAACTCTGTATTTTAATGGGCTGACTAAAATATGCTTTCTGTCATCTAAAACATCAGTGGTCTTTTATAATTTTGCCCCAATGTTGTACGTAACCCATTCAAGCAAAAAACTATACTACAGTATTACTAAATTACTAAATTACATTTGAACACTAGAAGGCTGGCAGTCCTATTCTTTGATTTCATCATAAACAAGACAGCAATCTGTTATTCATCAGACCTGTTGTGTGTGTGCGGGGGGGGGGGGGGGGGGGGGGGGGGGGGGGGGGGAGGTTAATATGTTATATTTAGATCACAATTTTCCTAGTAAAGATGATGGGAAATTAAATTGTGTTCCTGAGAAGTAAGCAGCCCTGCTTTTTCTTGGTCCTGGACTGTGGCTCCTCCTATGTGAGGCACATGAGCTGTGTGAAGACATTCTTGGGGAACAAGCACAAGCAGTGATATCAGGACATTGACTCTGGATACATGGAGAGAATGTCAGTTTGAGGGACACATGAGAACACCCATCCTTATCCATTCACCCATATAGCTCAGCAAGTTTTTGTCAAGTACCCAACATGTGCCAGAACTGATAGACAAAATAAGCATAGTACGTTGCACATGCTGTGTTTTAATTCCCCTTGACAATTAATCTCATTTGCCACCTTCATGAGATCTAGAACAGCCTGGGAGATGGGTCTCTGAGCATGTGTTTGGGGGAGTATCTTGATTAGGCTAAGAGAGCTAAGTAAAAGCATCCATTGCTTTCTGCTTTTGACTATAGATGCAATGTGTCCAGACAGCTCATGTGCCTCACAGAGGAGGAGCTATAGTCCAGGACCAGGAAAAAGCAGGATTGCTTACTTCCCAGTGAGGCAATGTGGCCTGCTGCCATGACTTTCCCACTACAAAGGGCTGTAACTACAAACTATGAGCTCAAATAAACCCTTTCTCCCTTAAGTTGTCTTTGTCAGGGTATTTTATTATCATAACAGCCAAAGTAATGAAGAAAATGCCCTGTGAAGGCAATCACTAATGAGGACAACTCATACAAGCAATTGTGTAAGACAGGCAAATACTACAAAGACATATGGGCCAATGAGGATGCTTCTCTCTGGAAATGAAATAGAGTTGAGTGCTGAAGGGTGGAGGAGATATTCTAATCAGGATATGGAGGAGTGAGAAAGATAATCCACGTAAGAGAAGGTCCCCAGAGTGAGAAATAACTTGCCATTGTAGAAAAATCAATGGCAGTCAGTAGGCTGGAGTGGGATGAAAAGGAAGAGCATACATCCAGGATATATCAGACACCAGGTCTGCGTGAGGGAGGTGCTCTGAAGGAAGATGGCTAGTAAGAAAATCCCAAGGAAGGGTCTATGTGGAGACAGTTTCCCCTGTGAGGTGGGAATGGTTACTTCCTCACATGGCAGGTAGAAGGCTTATGAAAAGAGACATCATCTTCTCTAATACATATCTTCCAACTTGCTCTTCTTTTCCACACATGGTTCACATTACCATATGCCTCAAGGAATCCAGTCTGAAAATCACCAGTTTAGTTCAAGTGTGGATATATGTTGGGAAGGTGAGGGAAAGCAGGATAGCTCATCTTAAGCAATGCCATTTGGTTACTTGGTGTTCTCCTCTCCAGCTCTAACGGCCTCCATGACATGGAATCTTGGAAAGTACCTCATTAGGATACTTTCCAACTTGAACAAAGAACTAGGAAAGAAGTAAGCATAAAACCTGAATCCATGTGTGTCTCATGGCCTCTCCAGGCCAGAAGGACCCTGAACATTTTCTAGCCCAGTCCAGCTGAGAGGTAAGGCTATGGGAAGGATAAAATGGCTTCTGCGGCTACATCCTGGCATAGGCTGATGTAGCATCCAACTTGTCATCTGCATTTTTGTTTCTCCCATCCCTGGAGCGATCAATGTAGGTGTTTTTGCAACTTGGATTTTCTAGTGGGTACTTGAAAGACCCACACAGTAAATTGAATGCTAAGGTTTCAGGACACTTTCCTTTATAAAATCTGCCTCTTCACTCAGAGTCACCCTGCAGAGGAGTAGAATGAAAAAGAGGACAAGGTAATAAGAGAAGGAAGCCTTACCAATAATTTTTGGGTATATTTTGAGAGTGGTGCCAGAGAATCATTTCATAGAAGTGCTCTTTTGGGGTTTAAACTGTAAGAAAGAAAGGAGTAGTCCTCCAAATCCACTCAGCCTGAGGTAGTTGCTAAACCTGACAGTAATCTTAGCTGGGAAAATGAAATGCTAATTATTGGCCCACTGAGGATCCTGGAAGGGAGAATAGCTAGTTGGTTAATGATTCAGAGGATGCTTCAAGTCAGCCAGGCTAAGTCCATCTAGCAGACTTGTCAACCACTTAGGGAAATGATGTGAAGGAATTGCTTCTACTGCCCTCTTTAAAAAAAAGGTAAGATAGTAAATTGCAGCTTAGAGTGGGTCTGAAATTCACCCAAGATTCCATAGAGGTGAAATTCCATAGGGACTTGAAAAATCAGTCTACTCCAAGACTTATGATCTTTGGTTGGTCCTGATGACACAAGCATGCAATTTTAGCATTCGAGAGGTGGAGGCAGGAAGATCAGTAGTTTAAGGTCATCCTCAGCTACATGTAAACTTTAAGGCCATCCTGGGTTATATAAGACCCTGAAAAATATATCAATAAACAACAATAACAAATCTTGGATCTATACTGGTATTTTCAAATCTGGGTTTCTTGGCATACTAGGATAATGTTGGCAATCTTTGGGGGTGAGTTGGGGTTGTGTATTAATGTTCTAGGGTGACTGTCATAAAGCATTATAAACTGGGTGGCTATAAACACCGAGAGTTTGTTCTCTTAAATTCTGCTACTACAAGTTGAAAATGCAAAGTTAGGCTCCTCTTGAAGCCCATTTAGGAGCGGCCTCTCTTGAATCTTGCAGTGTCTCATGGCTTCAAATGTTCCTTGGCTGATGGCAGCATTCCTCCAGTCTCTGCCTCCATCTTTACATGGCCTCCTTCTCTGTATGTCTGTGTCTTCATATCGAATTTTGCTCCCTCTGTGTTTATTCTTACTAGGAGACAAATCTTACTAAATTAAGGTACCCTATTCAAGTATGAGGTCCTAACTAATTATTTCTGTAAACACTATGCTTCCAAAAGAGATCTCATTCACAGGTGCCAAAGGCTCAGACTTTTATCATTTTTTTTCTTGTTTGGTGGGAAACTCCAGCTTTTAATAGTAGGTAAGAAAAAGGTTCTCCTTATCTTCACTCCAACTTCAACTAGTGATATACTGCTTTTGTTTAGTTCAAATTTTAGGATTCATTGAATGCTTTGTGAGAAAGACCACCACTGACACATAAAATATTGAACCCACCAATCTCTAGTTAGCCTCATCCAACAATGAAAGACAGGCAGGAATATCTGGCTTAGAAACTACATTTATGGAAGGCTTTTTAATAGTCACTTTCTTTCTATGTGCCCTTATCATATTCACCATCTCGGGGTGTAATCAGAGCTACTACCGATCATGGGCATTGATCTGGAAACATCACTAGGAATATCTGAATGTCATCATACAGCTTTTCTGTCCCATCCTATTCCCATTGAGCCCCTTTGAGTTGCCATATGGACGTTGTCTGTGTGGTCTGTTCTCTCTCAGGGGTTCTGCATAAAGCATTGCACCCCTCAAGAGTTCCTGTGTCCTTGGACCTGACAGCTCCCTTAATTAAAGGCAGTGGGTGGTATGATGACAGGTTTGTCACTGTGATGGTTCCCTGAAGACCAGAGAACATGGGTGGCTCTAGTTTTCCATCTGCATCACTCAACCTGCATATTTCATTGGGTAAAACCTAAAAGAGGTAGTGCCTGTTTTTACTGACCTGTCCTCTGTCTGCTTCAGGTAAGTCACACACTTCAGTTATCCAGGAGGCATTGCTGGCTTAGCTAAGTGTAGGGATGCCACAGCTTTGAATGCATTGCTATTTTGTCTTTGCTTCACTACAGAATGAGTGATGATGATGCTTTCCCAAGTGTTCACTCCAGACTTTCCAGGAAGGGCCCAATGTTTAGTGGAAGTGAGGCTCTATTACTCAATGTAACGAGCAAAAAAAAAAAAAAAAAAGTTTATTTCCTTCTTTCAGCACTAATGCCAACCCATGCTCTGGCCACGATTACCTTCTCTGCCTCATCATGAGTTTGGAAGGCATATGAAAGTCACCTAGCCTTGTTAGCACAACCTTAAAGAGGAACATTCTGGCTCTTGGAATTGACCTTAAATGATTACCAGGGACAGAGTTTTTGCCAACCAAGTATGGATTAAATATCCCATATAGGGTTTGCAAAATGCCAGCTACAGAGTGCTGCATCCCATACATGTATAAGGAAAGGGTTTAAAAATGATAACTAGATCATTGTAAATTCTTTTACAAATACAATATTTATTTTGTTTTTATATACAAAACTCAAATTCCAAGTGAACATAAAACCAAATAAAAATCCCCCTGGATGCACAAACTTGAATTGCCTATTATCTCATTGGTACAAGTAACTATATAAGCGATAGATGGTCACAAAATATCATATCTTTTATATAGAAAGGATGTGATGTTTGGCTATTTGAAGAATGTTAAATGGAGAAAGGGATATCATAAAGCAACCCAGGAGTCAGAGAACTTTTACATACTCAATCTCTTAAAATAATCTGAACATCAAATCTGCAATTGACAATGACAACTTGGGGAGGCCCAGTCCAGGGTCTACCAGTACTTCCCAGTCATTTTGTATTTCTAATTTACCCCGAGGACATGGACCATTGATGTGTGGGAAAAATACAATTAAGTATGGTACTCCCAAATTGGGTTCAGAGTGATGTTCTTTCACCCTTCTATCATTTCTATACATGATTCTGGCAGCAAGGAAATTATTTTGAAACTAGCACAGCAACCATGTATTCGAGCCAACCCATAATGTCCAGTTGATTCATAGCTAAATGGCTGCAGCAAAGATAAACCATGAAGTTCATGATAACCTTTCAAATGTAAACCTTTTAACTAAATTGAGTCTAACACTTTTATTCTGTTTTCTAAACTCAGTTATTCAAAGGATTTTTCAAGATTTCAAATAATTTTTATCTCCCCATGTCCCTGAAGTGATCTGCCTACTGATTTGTTTTATATCAGTTAGTGTCTGGGGCCAGATCCTTTACTTGGGACCTGAACACACAACTTTCTTGGAAGCAGGCAACACTTTCATTAGAGTACTCAAAGACAGAAATCAAATTTCTCTGATTTCTGAACACTTCATGCATATTTTTAAAAATAACATGAGAAAAAGAATATGCTTTCAAAAATTCAGAATCTGTAGTTTTAAAGCTGTTATATTTTAGCATGAGCTCAGTGCTGACCTTTTCAGATCAATCATAAATAATTTCTCCCAAGGGAAATACTTCTATTGGAAATGGGGAAAAATGAACTAGACTATAACTCGTGTACTATGAATATGGGCCACTTTGGGCTTAGCACTCTTTGGGAGAGGCCGTGATAACATACAAGAGAGCAGATGACTACATCTTAGCTTACACAGACAGAATATATATGAATGTTTGATTTACAGCTACTACTGATGCAGCTTCTAATATTAGCAATAGTGACATTATATACATTTTCTTTCTTTTCTTGTGTTTCTATGATTCAAACACAGGGCTTCGCACATGTTGGATAAGTGATCTTTCACTGAACTATATCCCTAGCCCCAAATAGTCTTTAATACATGGTAGTAATCCACAATACATACTGTTTTGATAGACCATTCCTACAAATGGACAAAAATCAATTTAGAAAATCCCATACCAAGGTGAAATTCAGTTTATAGCAATTACAGATTGCCCTTTGGATGATGTAGGAAGCTATTAGACAGTTTTCACCCTGTGACTTCCTTTGTCTTGGTTCCTGTCTAAATATCCAGAAGGTCATCTCCACTCTCATCACTCTCCACAGTCAGCTGTCTGGTCCACCACTTTTTAACCTCAGAGCCACAGGAAGCTGTGTCTGGCATGGGGTTCATCTTGCACACCACAGACTTCATGGCTGTCCTTCCTCCAAACCGTAGGTTAACTGAAGACACCGAATGGCTTATTGGTTTGGGAGCTGTGGAATTAAGAAGAGCCCTATTATCAATTGATTCTGTTTCAGCATGCTTTAGCAATTCCTGGAAAATCATGATACTCTGAGCAGTGGTGCTTTTGGCTCCCAATTCCTATCTCCAGGTGTTAAGTAAGAAACCTTTTTAGTGTTTGATTCTTCCAATAAACTTAGGCCTATAGGCAGCTAACAATAACTCTTGGGAAAGCATACTTCTGGTTCTTTTTACTTTAAGGAAGGCAGAAACCACAAACAGCCCGAATTTGTGCAAAGTAGAAGTGTTACAGTGGTATGTTTAAGCTGGTGTTCATTAGGGAAACAAAAGAGTGATAGTGTAGTTCAAAAGGAGAGATGGGGTAGGGAGCAGGTGTGGAAAGAAGCGGCTTTGGTCTTGTGTCCTTGGTCTTGTGTCCCATGTGTAATCTACAGATATGAAGTCCCTGACAAGTACCTGCTCTGAACCTAAATTTTCTCCACAGTAAAATGAAGAGAATGCAAATGTGCTCACTGTAGGGCTGGGAGGCTGAAGATGGGTTACTGAGATGACCTGACAAGTGTGATGCTTGGTGCCTCCTTAAAATGTTCTTCACATTTCCCTTTGCCCTCTCATACTTTGTATGCCCCTGCTTGTCTCTGTGGTTATCACCATTTTTCACCTTGAGGCTACATAGACAAGCACTACTGTTGATACTTCGATAGCATTCCTGTCACTCATTTAAGTGAACACCAAGGAGGGACATTCTCCCCAGGTCATCTCTCATATCTGCCCTGTAGTGTTGGACTAGCAGTGTGGACCACGCCCTTATCACTTGTGTCCAGACTGCTGTAATATCCTGTAGCCTGTCACCTGCTTCCAGGTCACTGCCTGTCACTGCCAGAGGCAAGTGAACTCTCGGCTGTGTTGTCTCATCAGTCTTTCTAAAGCATAGGTGGCAAAGGTCATTTCTTTCTCAGAAGTCTTTAATGTCTCCCTTCTAACTGCTCATAGTGTGAAATTGAAACTGCCTAGTCTGTCATTTAAGGATTTTCACATTGTGGCCCCTTAGCCTACTCAATCTTGCTTCCTGCCTCTCCTATCTTTGCTTAGACCAGACAAAAATTATGTCCTCTCTGATCCCTCATCAGGTCCTTCCTTACTGGTGGCTTTAAGACCCACGGCACACCTGATGCTTCAAAATGTAAACTGTACTGCCATCTGCTTTGTGAACAGACATGTGGCAGAAGACGTTTCAGGGTCACCCATTCTCACTTGGGTGGGGCTGAAGCTGAGCATGGTTAGAGGAGAGAATGAAGCTCTATTTCACCATAGGCTTAGATCTTAATAGAGAGGAGACTGGGATGTGTGTAGAATTGCTCCTCCCCAGTTCCTGAGTGTCCCTTCTTGAGATCATTCTGGCACCTCACATTTCTTTGGAAGAGAACTCTTACTAAGTCAGTAAAATGTGGGGAATAATAGAACTGTGAGGATTGAATGATCCAGGTAATGCCCTAGGAGTAGTGATTGGCACACAGTGGTCAGTGCTACATGAAGGTTTGTCATTGTTACTGCTGTCATTGAGATAAAGAAGCTCATGCCAGGGGGTGATAAGCTCAGCTACACAGCACGTGTTGGGTTAAAGTGGGACCTGAGCCTTTTCTGAGAACTCCGTGGCATTTTCTGAAGATCATATCTACCCATTCCTTCTTAGATAAGTTTTGCCCATATTTGAGATGCCTTGACTGTACCCAGGAAGCCCTTGGAAACCTCTTCCTCCTCTCTTTCTGGATCTTGGCTGTAACATCTCATTTTGTTAACAGGTGCCGTCTTCTCAGGGATGGCAGCTGAAAATGAGGGCCGATATAGTTATGTTTAGAGAAGTTACTTTGAGGAGAATGTTTCTGATAAGGGAATACATTTCATTGTTTCACTGTCTAAGATAATCAGATACACACCCTGTTTGGGTCTGAAATGTCCCCAGAGGCCCTGGGTGTTGGAGGCTTGGTCCCAACTTGTGCTATTGGGAAGTGGTAGAACTTTTAAAAGATGGCACCTTGTAGGTCTTGGTTCACTGGGCTCATGCCCTGGAAGAAGATTGTGGGATGCCAATCTTTTCCTCTTTGTCCTGGTTGTGATAAGGTGAGCAACTTCCTCATTATACATTCCCACTATGCTATGCAGCATTATTACAGGCCCAATAGCAACAGATAAACTGACTGTGGGCTGAAACCTCCAACAAAGTGAGCCAATAGACCTTTCTTCTCTTTAAGTGGATTTTCTCCCATATAAGTTATAGTAACAGAAGGTGAACTAATAGAGATCTGCATATTAAATAAAATCTAAGACCCAAAATTTAAAAAGAGAGAAAATGCCTCTTAAGTGCCCCCAATAGGTAGAGAAATGACTGATGTACCTACCTGAGGGCAGACGCCATTGTCCAAACTTCCTTTGGGGTTTTCCAGGATCTGCCGCATCCTGTCGACTTCCTCCTCTGTCTGACAGAGTAGGGCTCAAGAGTTGCTGCTGACTGCTTGTCTACATGGGAGAAGAGTTAGTCAGCTGTGGGTCTTTCTCTTTAAAAAAAACCACATATTTAATTTGTCACAAATATTTATATAGCTTTATGAGGTATAGTATGGTAATTATCACATACTTATAACATGCAATGATGAAATCAGGCTCCTCAAATGTCTACCATTTCTATGTATTTGGAACTTTGTGACTTTTCTAGTTATTTTGAAATATATCAGAGACATTTGAAGACTACATGTGACAGTTATCTTCACTGTCAATTTGATGGCCCCAGGAAAGCCCAAACTGAGGACTACTTGATGCTGAGGACTTGTAGGCACTTTGCCTCTATCTCTGGCACCGTGTTCTTTCCTAATCATTATCATCTTTTTTTTTTTTAGATTTACTTTATCTATCTATCTATCTATCTATCTATCTATCTATCTATCTATCTATCATCTATCTATCTATCTATCTGTGTGTGCATGTGTGTGTGTGTGTGTGTGTGTGTGTGTGTGTGTGTGTGTGTGTGTGTGCATCTACAAAAGTATATGCCACACATGTACAGGTACCCACAGAGGCCAGAAGAGGGCATTGGATACCTTGGAGCTAGAGCTATGGGTGGTTGTGAGCTGTCAGATGTAGGTGTAGGAAACTGTCCTTGGGTCCTCTGGAATAGCAACTGTCTATCCAGCCCCTCACTGTCTTGGTTTTCACAACACTTTAAACCTTTAAACACTCTCTCTCCCCACACCCTTGGCTATTGGGATACCTCTTTGAGAGCTCTGAAATCATCACTTCCCCTCTATCATTTGTCCTGTCTAAACCTGATCTGATTCCTTCTCATAAAGCATTGCCAAATGTCTTTGGGCCAGACCTGTAGATCTTTCTTTTTACCTCTTTTGCTGACTGCTCTCATAGACTCTGTGGAGAAGGAGACAAGTGATTCCTGGTTACTTGTAGAGAGCCACGAAACTCACACAAAACTGTACCGGGCTATAACATGTCTGTTTGGAGCCTCTGATGGCCCATGGAGCCTTATGCTTCAATTTGTCCCTCATCCTGACTGTGTTGCTGTTCATCACGAGCTCAGCAAAACTGGAGGTACTGCACAGTGTGCTGGATGGACTCCATGTGATTAGCATCAAATCATTATTCCAGCCACATAAATGGGTGGGGCCTCCCTGCCAGCTGCTCTTCATAGCACAGAGCTCTCCCAGATGCGGGTAATTCTTGTTTTTGTTGTTGTTGTTGTTTTGTTTTTGAATACACATGTAGAACAATTTTGAAAATGAAACTAGCTGTGTTTTAATAGACAGAAGCTACTCAAATATTTTTCTTAATTCTAAATGCTCCTCTGATGCCCAAATAAGAAAGGATAAATCCCTAAATGCATTTGATTATTGAAGAGGGTCGAAAGCCAAGTGCATCCATTTTTCTAGCTTTACTGAAAATTTCCAAGATGTGCTAAAGGGAAGAAAACATTTATGGCAAGGCCTCATGTAAATCATAATCTTTTTAAGCACATGTTTCTATGCTCAAGTTTAGCTATTATGAAAATATTAATCTTTTCAACAAAAGAAGCAAGCAAACAATATTCAGGATGTTAATCATTTTTAGTATATGTATTCTGTAGTTTGGATCTTGAATGGCCCATAAGTTGAAGGCTTGGTCTCCAGCCTAAGACACTAATGGGAGGTAGTAAAATGTTTAGGAGATGGAGCCTAATGGGAGGAAGTTGGGTTGTTATGGGGGTTGGGGGGGGCTGTCCTTTTGAACAGGATTTTGGAGTCCCATCCCCTTCCTATCTCTCTTGCTCCCTGGCCACCACACTTTCCCACACTTTCATCATGATGTACTAATTCACTATAGCCTTGTACAGTGAGTGAGCCCATTACCCCTGGACTGAAGAATCTCATACTGAGAGTCAAGTAAACCTTCCCTGCTTCTAAGCTGATTATCTCAGGTATTTTGTTTAGTAACATAAAGTTGACTAACACACCATACAAACCATAATTTTACCAAGAAAATCTCAACTGAATTCTAAGTGACAAAATAAAAATATCTGGATGTACATATTCTCATTATTTTTGTTTCTTTTGCATCAAAAGGTCACCTGAAAAATACTGTCACTTTATCTGAGATGTCTGTGGCCAGGATCAACTCCCACAGAACATCCTTGGATGAAGGATACCTCATCTCCTACCTCAGGTTGCGTATTGTGGTCCTGGCTGTTGGCATTAGTGTCCTCGCTTGGCTGGGTGGTCTCAATGCTGGGAGGATTCAGGAAGCGACTCAGCTCTTGCTGCTGGCTCTCTCTCAGGCTGTGGATGATGCTGCATGACTGCTGCTGTTTCTATAGAAAGATGCTGTGCTTTCATAAGGGGGAAAGATACCTAGCTTCTTTGTCCCATTCCCACCAAGTCACAGTTTCTTCTTCCCTCTTTGAAGACCTATGGGTTTGCCAACCTCTTAGGAAATTCCAAGTAAGAATCTTGAACTAGTTTTGAGGCTGTTAAGATTGATATATGTCTTGGAGATTAGAAGTATCTCCCACCTTTTCCATTTGTTTAACAGTTTTACTTGTTCTACTCATCCATGTTAGTTATTTAAAATAACTAATGTGGGTGTTTTATTTTTCTTTATTATTTAATTCTATCCTCATTTAACCAATGCCAGTCCCCTCCCTCCACTTTCCTGAAAGTTGTAAGCACCAAAGAGTTTTTAGTAGATGAGGAGAAAACTTACTCCTGTCTTGGTTCTGGACTTTGTAGGGCATCCTGGTAGGCCAATCCAGCAGCCTCCTCAGGGTCTGAGCAGGACATTTGTAATCCCTGGAACCATCAGAGCTATGGTAGCCTTGCTGTGATTGGGTTGCAGTGGGCAGCTGGCCTTGCTCTAGGAGGCTGTGCTAGAGTGTTTATTTTCTTTGGGGATTTTTTTCCTCTAACAGGAATGCATGTTTCTATAGTGGTTGTTGTTCTGAAGGGCAGGATCAAACAAATCTTACATAACATTAATTGCATTGCAGGAAGTATTTACTGATTGGTTTGCCTTTCTTCTCTGTATGTGAAGCATAAGTCAAAACATTCATAAACGTTAATTGCCCAATAGAAGTACTCACTGAGAACATAGTATATGCTAATGGAGTATATATTCATTAATAAGTGAGAGTCTCACACAAACTTACAGTTTAGGAGGCAGCAGGCACATCATTAAAATTCCATGAGAGATGGTCTTTGGAGACCAAACAACATGATAAACCATATGTTGGAACTTTTTGCAGCAATTTAAAAGTAGTTTTGTAAATTCAATCTCATTAGATATTTTTGGGATTTTGTACAGTTGAGTTTAATAAATGGAGATCATAAATATTTTAATACCAATAAATTGTTTTTTAAACCTTCATGTTATACAAATTTGATTCAATTGAAATGTGTGGTGGAGCCTCCTGAGGAGAATGAGGCTGAAGCTGGAGTAGAGTTAAGGCGGGTAGCAGCATCAGACACCCTGAGTGGATGAAGATGATGCATTTTAAGGGATATCAGGCCAGTTGCTGAAGGGTTGTGTTGTACTATTGAGGGCATTCTTCTCTTTTGCTCCTCTTTATTTGACTGTGAGTGTGTGTGTGTATGTGTGTGTGTGTGTGTGTGTGTGTGTGTGTGTGTGTGTGTGTGTGTGTAATGGTATTAATTGTCAACTGGACAGAATCCAGAATCATTTGAGAGATGGGCCTCTGAGCATGCTTGTGGGGGATTGTCTTGATTACTGGTGTGGAAAGACTTATCATAATTGTGAATGGGCAACAGATTATATAAAATGTGGAAAGTGGGCTGAACATTGGCATTATATCTACTCTCTCCATTTCTTGATTGTGGATGTGATGTGAATTCACAACACCTGTCATGTGATTGAATTCCTGCCATCTTGACTGCCCCTCCATAATGGACTGTACCCTTGAACTGTGAACCAGGATAAACCCTTCTCATTTAAGCTGCTTTTGTCAGAGTATTTTATCACAGCAACACAAAAAGAAAGCCAGCCCTGGGGCTTGTGGTTCACTCACAGCCCTGATGCGTTTTAAGCACTTCTTCAGCCACATGCGAATGGTCTGCTTAGCCACCTCCTCCTCTATGGTATACTCCAGCTGCTCCCTTGCCAGCAGCTCCTCCAGCTGCAGGCTCTTCCTGATGTCCACAGAGCGGTAGGAGAGCATGCTAGAAGACAGGAACAGTAGCACCACTGGTCAGATTCATCTGGTGTTTAGAGCCTCAGATGTTCAAAATGCAGAGAATACATCTTTCCAGGCAATCAGTGTAACATTTAATGCCTCTCACAGCTGGGTGAGTGGCTGGTTATGTCACCTCTGTGTCTCCCTTCCATTGTATAAATGCTGAGGATAGTCTTGGCGCCTACCTTATTGAATAACCTGGCAAGTTAATATCTATGAGATACTTAGAACAGTGAATTAATGCTAATAACACTAATATTTAGTGCCTATACTACAGAAGACCCAGGTTAGGGGGTACCCACAGCTCTAGCTGTCAAATGCATGTTCTGGAATGTTCTTTGCAGAAAGATTATTCCATCCACTCTTTTCTCATGGTTAGCACTAATTGGTGATGGTAAATATCCTTGCCGATGAGTTATGCATGCCACACTCCTCTTCCCTCTCTATTCATTTGTCACTGTGCATCTTCCTTATTAATTTCAGAATATGCAAGCTAGAGCTGAGTAATCTCTTTCATTTAGTCCTTGGCTCAACAGGTCCAGACAATGGTAAGTAAAACTAACATTTTTGTGCAGACAGGCAGTCAGATAATTCCTAGCAGGGATTGGCCAAAGGGTAATATAAACCTATCTAGTAGTATTTAGTGTAGCTTCAGTACTCTGGACTCTCATACAACCTCTATTGTGAGCTTGAGGCCACCATCAGAGCTCAAGTCACAGCATAATAACTTTAGTAGTAATGGGTTATTGTTTTTCTCTTCTTTGATAAATGTGTTCCCATTGTGGAAGAAAATACTGCATTATTCCTAACCCACCACCATTAACTTTGCTTGGGTCCCTTGTGTTCAGATGCACTGCAATGCTTTAGAGAGGCCAGATGCTAATTATTCATAAAAACAGTAGGTCTGGGTGCTTTGTAGCTAACCTAAAAACACTCTGCCACCACAAGGAAAGATCAACATTCTGAGGGGCATGCCATTCTTTCTCACACACAATCCTGCCCCATCTTTTTCTGTGCTCCTTAGCTTTTTCATGGACAAAATGATAGTAAGAGGCAAAATTAGTAACTTTAGGGAACTTTCCCTAGGCCCTTCCTTTGCTGGTCTGACATTTTTTTTCTTCTTTTATCTACAAGTGGAGTTTTATCTAGCTGACAGACCCCCAAATTTGTGACAATATCCAACATTTAACATGCCAGGTATATGCAACATGAGTAACACAGCTGCAGTCAATCAAGTGTTCAAGCCAGTGTCTGTGTCACAGATAACTGGCAGGGAGTTTGTGAAGGGTTTCTTACAATGATGTTTCACATGAAGGAAATCACCTATATTGTATTAGATCTTTCATTGAGTTTCCTTGATATGGGACATACGTTCTTTTTGGCTCATTAAATAATATGCATTTGAGGTCAAATGACACTGTAACTTGAAAGGACTTGTGGAACATAAATGATATTTTAAGATTTCTGTCAAGAGCTTCAGATTGTGACCTTATGTGTAGAGTTCACTGCAGACCTAGTTAAGATGTGGCCAGACTAGAGTATCTGGGGATTTAATCCAAGATAATTGCTGTCCTTACAAATGGGATAATACACGTGTGTGTGTGTGTGTGTGTGTGTGTGTGTGTGTGTGTGTGTGTGTGTGTGCTGACAATGGTCTGTGAAAATGAAGACAGAGATCACAGTGTAGATCACACTGCTAGTTAAACATTGCAAGAAGCCACTGGAAGATCTAGGGGAGGGTTATAACAAATTCCTCCTCATAACCTTACAAGAAACCAATCCTGCCCTTGACTTCAGGTTTTTTTCTTCTGGAACCATGAACAACAAATTTCTGTTGTTGGGACTTGAGCACAGTGGCCCTAGCAAGATAACACAGATGCTCCTAAGAGAGACTAAAAGGTAGAGCCGAGTTTGAGCCTTTGTCCCATCTGGTGCTCATAAAACATGTAGAAAATGTAGTGTTTTAAGCAACAGGGGCAATTGTGAAAGAGTAGGTGGGGCAGGTTCTTACCAGACTCACCTGAGTAGGAAGATATGGATTTCAGTCCATATTTGTCAAGGAACCAGGTGACCCCAATCAAGTCACTTAATTCTTGCAGGACCATCCCCTCATCCCAAAATAAAGAGATAGAACTATTCCCCCCAGGTCTTTTCTTTCTTTCCTTCTGGGATGACAGGTCACTGCTTCCTATCCTTCTTGTGGAGGCATTGATCAGACATGATCATTATGAAGCAGTGAGAAAGACAACTTCATGCTAGAAAGTGTGCCCTTGCCTTATCACAATGACATTATGGCAACTCAGGTTTCAAACATCTTTGGTAATTGAATTTGTGAGCCTCTGTGTGTCACAGCTTTCATTTCTAGCCTCACTAAATCTCTGTGATATTGGGCTGTGGAGCCAGCTTCATACCTCAAGACATCATGGAAAGTGACATCACCACCATTGTGTAGCCTCTCCATCTCATAGCACATGTGCTTAAATAGGAGCTTGTCTTTGTCAAGATCCACTTCCAGCCTTCCACGTAGCAACCTTAACAGGAACTTCACTCGGAAGGTAGGGATCACACCCTGGGTAAGACAGTACAAGGGCCAGCAAAGTGAGTCATTAGGAAGCCCCTAGGTATTCACTGGGAAGGGATTTCTTTTTACAGGGAAACCCAGACAACAAAATGAATCTATGAGCCAAGACTGGTGGCTCAGACTTATAATCCAAATACCAAGGAGGCTGAGGCAGAGGGATCACCAGTATAAATAGCGCCAGACAGGAAGAAAGTCATTGGTTTCTTTGGAAGCTAGGCAGAATGATGTGTGCTAAACAGGTGATATGAAGTACTGAGCAATAGCTTTCTGCTCCTTTGGTCCAGTGGATTTCATAGCATTGACTTCAGAGCCAGGGAGGGTAAGGAACATCTATGTAGCTCTCCCTGGAGCCAGCCCTTAGTGCTTATTCCCAGCACATGCATCCTTGATGAATATCTTCCTAAGAGTAGGCAGTACACATGTACACAACCCTCCCCACTTAATTAGGGTCTTAGGACTTCTTAACATTTGTTATTTTGCTTCCATTGAACACCTCCTTTGTAGGTCTTCTCAATGATTAGAACAACTTACAGATAAGACAATGAGGCTTCAGCTTTGCTCTCCTTCTAGGATAAATCTGGACACTGAGACTCAAAGTTATCACTCTATTCCATGTAACACAGCCTAATACACCAACTCTGACTATATCTTTGAATGAGCCTGGCGACCTAGGGCTTCATGCTAGTCATTAGGATGTCAGTGTGAATGGGGGTGTTGTCTTTCCTGAACATATCAGGTGAGATCCAGTTCCTGTGGGTAACAGTAACAGAGAAAAATGCAGAGCTAGATGAGACAAAAGAATCAGACCAAGTATCCTTGTCTTCCACAAGTTCACAAGAGACTGGAGCCCAATTGGGGGACAGGGAGTACTAGTGTAGGCAGAAAATAAAGCAGGGTGAAGAGGCCATACCCTGTCCTGCAGACCCTGGGGTGTGACCACACCTTGTCTTCCAGAGTCTTACTTATGACAACTATGCTAGCTCCTTGCCTTTGTACTCTCAACTCTTCCTGAACTATGCTTAGGTCTTCCCAGGATAGATCATTCCATGGTTGAACTTTTCTCATTTTTGATGTGAGCTCAACTATCAGCTTCCCAGCTAAAGGATCTACCCCAAGCCCATCCACTTTCTGCCTTCTTCAACACAGTCTTAACTTCTGGAACTAATATGAGTTGAATATCTCCTACCAAAATGTTAGGCCCAAAGGTGTTTCACATTTTGGGTTTTATGGGCTTTGGAATATTTACATCTATAGAATGAATTACATTGAGGATAAGATTCAAGTCTAAGCATAAAATTCATTCATGTATTTTTTATTTTTAATCTTTTCAAAAAAGTTCTTATGTATCCCAGGATGACCTTAAACTTAAGGCTGTCAAACTCCCGATCCTCCTGCTTCTGCCTCCCATGTACTAGGATTACAGACACAAGTGCCATTTGTTTATGTTTCACACATGCCTTATATACATATCCTGGTAGTGATTTTATACACTATTATTAGCATGCCTGAGCTTTGACTGTGAGTTGTCATGTGAACTCAGGTGTGAGTTCTTTCATTTGTGGTGTTATAGTGATACTACAAAGAATTCAAAGTCTGAAGCATTATTTTGGACTAGTGATAATAACCTGTGCCATGAGTACCATTTCACCTTCATGGGTTGCCCCTCCTTTAGGATATAAGCTCTACGGGCACAGAAACCTTGCCATTTGGGAATTGCTTTATGTCAGTGTCTAGACCTGTGCTTTGCTTTTGGAAAGTAAAGATTAAAAAGACATCAAAGAGGAGAGGAAGAAGAAGAGAAGAACATGCAGGATGCTGTGGAGGAGAAAGGGAAAAGAAGGGAAGGAAAGGAGGTAAGTGAAAATAAGTAAGTTGCCTCTGCTTTGATTAATTCTCTTGAAATACTAGTTAAGATATTTATATACTAACTAGTTCAAAATAACCAGGTATCCATACAACTAATTAATTTTTGGTAGTGCTGAGGATTGAAGCCTGGGCTTCTTCCATGCTCAGCAAACACTCAAACCTGAGCTACACCTTCAGACATCACTTGTAACTCATATTTGTGTTTCATCTAGATGACTGCTTAAGGTTGAGGTGATGGTAAGTCTTTAGTAGGTTTTCCCTCTGGGATCTGCAATTTCCTTTCTTTTGCTCAAGCCCAGGGCAGATGCCCTTTAGTTTTCTTCCTTTGCTGACCTTCTGAAAGTCTAAAGACCAGGCTGTTCACAGTTGGAAAGAACACGGGGAGAGGCCATTCTACACCCTGTCCTTACACACAATTCTGACTCAATGACAGGTTTCTGCAATGCAGTAGTAACGGTTCCAAATTTAGTCTATGTCAAATTTTAGTCCGAAGACTCTTAAAATATGTAATTTGTTCTCTTTGAGATGGAGCGGGAAACAATGGCCCATTCCCCTACCCCTAGGTTGAGGAAGACCTTGAACATCTGACTCTCCTGCTTCCAGTTCCCAAGTGCTGGGAGTACAGTCATGAACCACCACACCCAGTTTTATGTGGTGTTGGGGATCAAAACCAGGATCCTATGTGTGCTTGGTAAGCAAGGGAGCCACACTCACACAGTTCCTACCTCTCTTTTATCATCCACCATGTTCCATATGATTTGAAAATGGCGAAGATCATTGTAACTTAAAAGCTGGTCCTCTTCAGTGGAATAAAACAAGGAAAAATTCTCCACAATTATGGCTAAGAAAAAAATTCAGATGTTAGACAAGTAGACTAATGTGTCACTTTTCAGAAAAAGTAAAACATCTATTATAAATAATAGATGTTATCATTCACATTATAAAGCCAATTTTTCAAAGTGATTTCAGTACAGTTTCCAAGCTGGCATGTCTCTCACTTGGACTAAGCTATTTATTCAGCACTTGCCTTTCCAAAACATGAGGGTCATGGGCTCAAAACCACTCTGTGTAGGCATTCATGCCAGCTGGCTCCTACTCTTACTTGAGAGTTCCAGGGCATTTTAAAGGGTCATATTGGGTCTGGGTGGCCCCACAGCTGGGTAGACAAAATACATCTTTTAAAACAAAAAATGTGATATTTTGAGGCTATAAAAGTAGCTTTCCCTGATTTGTGTTCAGCTCAATCTATGGGAAAATCTCTTTGGGAATTAATGAGCATAATAAATAGGACAACTCTCGAAACTGCAATCAACTGCCATTTCCATGCTTTTCAAAGGTCTTTTCAGCTCCTGGGTTGAGAGGCAACAATTTATAATTAATGCCATGAAACACTCGCCCCAAGTAATCCAGGATAATTACTCGAAAATTGTACATAATTATCTAAGTACCTGAGTTTGAAGAGATGAAAAAATAATTCCACAAACATATCTTACCTACAAGCAGATTCAGCATGATGTAGGCGATGATGACATAGAATGAGCAGAAGTACATAAGTGCCCCTGCGTAATTGCCACAGTCTGTTGCCCAGTATGTAAATTCATCTGGAGTACAAAATGGAGGCTGAACCTGTGAGGCAGTGGGGGACATGGAGGGGAGAGCGAAAGAACTGAAGGGCATAGATACCTTGTGATCGTAGTGCTCAAGGAACATGTTCATGACAGTATGGTTGTAGTTGATTTAAAGCCATCATGCAAGAACCACACATGCCAGACACACACATCATTTGCAGCAGAACTCCACAAGAATATTTGATCTATGTTATGATTTTGGTCTTATAGATGCCCCAGTTCAGTGCCATTGATAGAAGTAAAATGCAGATGAACAGGTTTCCCATGGGAGATACCCTTCCCATCTTCACCAATTGTCCCTAGCGTCAAACTTTTGAAAGTCAAATAAAGAGGAATTTTTTTTTTCTGACTTAAGCAATGAATTAATCTGTACATAAGTAGAATACACATACCAAATTCACATTCAAGTTGCATAAGGATTAATCCACCATCCTGAGACACCAAAATGAGATGTTACAGAAATATATAAGGTTCAATAATGAAAAGCCATGTATTCTGTAGGACCCACAAACCCTTCTGTGATACTGTCTTAGTTTCTCAACAGAACAACTAGCTCTTTCTCCTGCACCCCACACACTCTTTTGAGACTCCTATGTAGGATTTATTTAGTTCTGCCTTTTGTTGTACCTGATTTGATAAATTCGGTCTCCATTTTTCATGTTTAAAGTTCCCTATGCCCTACTATATGCTATATTTGAACAAAGACACCCCTGTTACTTGAATGCTGACCACACTTTAACATCACAGTTGCCAGCACAAGGGCAAATTGCTCCATATGGTAATTTAAATTTAATTTATATTGATTAACAAGGAAAAATAAATGGAATGTAAAACAGTTCTTCAGATGCAACTAGTCACACCAGTAGCTCAATACCGAGCCATACATGGCTAGCAGCTTCCTGCCTAAACAATATAGGCTCCTTCACTGAATGTCTGTATGACATCATCGGTGTCTATGAGGTGAGAGGGAGGAGAAAGAAAGAAGTTTAACTCTACAGTTCTCTGGAACTGTTATGCATGTCCAAACAAATATATAGTGCTGTAAGAATATATAACACATGGTTTTAAGTGTGGGTAAAAATGCCTGAAGAAGCAAGTGTTAACACTATGACCAGAGGACAATACAAACGTATTGGAAAGAAAGCAGGACACCACAAACCACATGACATATGTGCCTTGAGGAACGTCTGGACCTGCAGAAGGCCTATGGACCAGGACAAACCAGGGACTTGGTGAGTGTCTGATGTATGTGTTAAATACATGTCTTTGTTTTGATTGCTAAGCTATGAAGGATAGGAAGGAAAGAACAATGCTTATTATTAAATATTATTATGAGTTATATTAAGTGGATATTTTGGAAATTTTGTTTTGCTATTCATATCTTGTAATGTTAAAAGGTGCAACTTATGGACTAGATGGTCAGATTATTCTTTTTTTTTAAACTCGAGGCCTTTATGCTAACAAGAATATTATTGCCATGTGCGTGTGAGTTTATGTTGAGGCACTGAAAATGAGGGGATATTTACCATACAATCATGCATAATCTTGTTCCAGTCTTCCCCTGTTACGATTCGGAATAATACAGTAATGGCTTTGCCAGCTGAAGAAAAATTAGCATGCCTAATTTAAGAAAAAAAATGAAAAGAATGGAGATTACATGAATTGTCATTGTCATGAAGCAATATGGGTGGCCACCACCAAAACGATGGCTTTTTCAAGCTTGGTTGCCAGGTTACTATTACCAAAACTTAGAGCCTCTTGCTGGCAGTACGGCTACCTCACAAGACAGCTCTCACAAGGTCACCAACTTACTAACTTTCATCTTGAATGACTGGGTGAGCTTTGGCTACTAAGAAGTGATTCCTTCCTTTGCTTGGTCATAAAAGAAAACTCAACCATTACCAAATAAATCACCTGCCATTTGTACCTGTTTTATTGTATTAGAACCTTTAAGATAACAAAGCAGATGCTTCCATAATGTGGAAGATGAACTTTTGAAAATGCTTTTCTCATAGCAGAGTGATTTTATAGGTTCTATCTTTCTACATGTTGCTAAAAAAGAAAGTCACCAAAAACCTGTTTTATTCCCAGAGCATTTCAGGGAAATATATGGATAGAAAAACTACTGAAATTAGGAGTGTTATTCCCAACAATGGGTAGAATTAAAAAATCTTTTTTCGTTGTTTTGTTTTTTCATTTTCTAAGGATTCTAAAATAAACATGCTTATTTTTGTCCGTTGGAAAATGTCATTTAAAATATGTATGTTTATTTTATTTTCCAACAGATTACTTTTTACAACACCCCTAAGTCTTTAGTAATCAAGAAACTTAGCTGGTATTCATGATTTTATTATGTAAAAGTTTGCTTAGTAAATGAATAGGAAGACAAATGCGCGCTGACCTGTTTATGTTCTCTCCATATTTCACAGTACCAAACAGAACAACCCCAGCAAAGGCATAGCACAGCAGCAAGAGGAACATTCCTACGATTATAAAGAAGCTCTTGTACATGCTGACAACCACGGTCAGAAGGAGCATCTTTAATGTCACCTGTGAGTGAGGGCGGGTGCGGTGTCAGGGCAGATGGAGAGAGGAGGAGAGAAGGAGGGAGAGTCAGTTCTAGCTGTGGAGAGGCTGCTGAATAATCTATAAGCAGGTTGGCTGCATAGTGATTCCCAAGTACATCATTTGAAAAGTTGTTTCCTGTTAGATATTAAATCTAAATATTATTCAAAAACCATCTGGCATTGAGAAACCTTAATCACACTTCAAACAGTTCAGTCACTCAAGAGAAATTAATTGAATTAACAACACAAGTTTCTCATCCTTTCACTTCCTCTTCTTTTGCTACCCAGACCTTTATAAGGTCAGCACATTATTGACCTATAGCAAGTAAATTTATTTATCCCCCACAGACATCCTAAAAAACTGAATATAAGAATGGTTTAATGTTAAATAACCACCAATTATTAAACCTACCAATCACATGGATATACAGAATCCATGTGTGAAACAATATCCCATAAAGGAGAACACAGGTAGTGTGTGGTGTGCATAAATGCTAACAAGGAATCTAGAGTAATGGAAACATTATCATTAACTATAAATTTCCTTTGCAATTAAGTTAATTTAAATAAATATAAATTAGGGCACATTAGGAATGACATTGGTTTTTGGTTTCAGAGTTAACATGTTTTCTTTCATTTATGACTGGGTTTACTCAGCAAATATGATAAACATAATAATGACAAGAAATATAGTCTAAGCTAATTAAGCTACTTATTCATCATGATATTTAATATTTATTAATCTTGACTTATGATGTTTAGTATTTTGTTGACTATAACAACCAGGTTGGCTGAGGTCAGTTGGCACCAGTGATTTAATGCTTACGTGACCTTTGAAAGGATTGTGCATGACTAACTTACATGCTTTCCACAGATGGAGAAAAATCTAAAGACAATCACACAGGCTCCCATCATGTAGGTGTATGCATTCTGAAATTTAAACAGTAGACAGGTTTTTACAATTTGCACAAAAGATCCTGCTATGGTTCCATTTCATTTTGTCTTCTGTGAAGTCTAGTGAATAATTAGTTTAATAAAATGTGAAAATTCCTATAAGATAAATAAAAATAAAGGTGCTGAAAAGGTCACTGCAAAAACTCATGAATAAATATTAGATTTAAAATCAAATCTCAGACAAAAACTTTGGGTTTTGTTTTGCTCAACCGAATTCTGTATTTTGAAATTCATTTCACATTGAGCAGTGACCAGCCCTTCTGAGGACAGGGAAAGAAAAGCACAGGGTAGCCATGCAATGGGAGGGAGCAGAATGAGACAGGAAATAAAAGCATCATGGAAAAGAGAGGTCAGATGTTGAAAAGAAGTGCTTGAAGGAGTTGGGAATACAGCTTAGCTGATAGAAGTCTTGCCTAACATGTGTAAGGCCCTGGGTTCAATATCCCATACTGCATAAACCCAGAGTAGTAGAGATGTGTAGAATCCTAGCACTTGGGAAGTGGAGGCAGAAAGATCAGAATTTTAAGGTCATCCTTGACTACATAGTGACTTCAAGGCCAGCTTGGGCTACATGGGACCTTATTCTAACAACAGCAACACTTGAAGATACTTTTTCTGAGATCAGTCCCCTGTTAACAAATCAGTCCATTTTAGAAAAAGACCCCTTCCCCCACCCCCAGCTCAAGAGGACTGCATCTGCTTGCTCTTCAAGTGTGTGCTGAGGGCCAGAGATCACTCTGTGCCTTATGATTCACAAGGCTTCTTCTGAGAAACAAAGATGCCACTGGCCACAGCATAACAACAGTGACATTCAACTGATGCCAAAGCATGAACATTCTCCAGGAGCTGCCTAGCCAAATGACAACAGTTCCAGATGGGTCCCTGGGAAGGGGGTCCACTGAGCTCCTTGGTGAGGCAAAAGGACAGGAATGTGGGCACATAGTATTGTTGGATGGAATACAAGGACTGTGCTTTCCTTCCCAGTAGTCCACTGCAAAATATGGCAAAGAATGATTGTTTTTCTCAGACCAGAGGTTCTTCTCAGGGGAAGAACAAAAGCAGTCAAGCAGAATAGAAAAGATTTTTTTTTGTGGCTTAGAATTTCCTCTGTGGGGGATATTTGAGATTAGGAAGCCTACTGTATTCTCCCATTTTTAGTGAGTATCATTTAGTCAAAAGTTTGTTTAGATAGAGTAAATACAATCAGGACATGTTTTTCTGCCTCTTCTTTCCATATCAGATTAGGATTTATTGTAGACATGTTGAAGTCCTTATATTCTAGAAGTCATGGCAACCACAGCCCCTGGGATAATGACTGGATGATTTTTTCACATGGACTCCAAAGTCCTAAAAAGACTTATGTTTCCATTTGTCCAAACCTTGTGCCCCGGCTCCTTCTACTTCAGCCACAAGACCTTGCCTTTGTCCAGTCCTTGCACCCTTTCATCCTAGCCAAGGGCATCTGAAATATTCTGTAGATGGAGCCCAGTTCCTTAGAGAAATGCCTTCCAGGACCTCTTTGATGAAGCCATTTCCCACTCGTCACAGTTGTCGTGGGAACATGGGATCTCCTTCATCTTTCCCAGAACACCTATGATCCTCACTGGTTTGTCTCTCTAGCTTTTCAGGCGATGACATTTATGAGAGCAGTGAATGTCTTTGTTTTGTTCATTGCTTTGTTCTTAATCCTCCTACAGTGCTTTTCTCATTGCTATATTCAAAGCCATTTATTATTTGAGAGGGTGAATACAGGTGCTTGAGAACCTAAGCAACTTCTAATGCTGAAGGCAACCACTGGTTTGAGAAGGCCACTCTACGGCAGATTCAAACTAGAGCAAGATCCTTCTGATAAGCAAATGGGCTCTATGAGTACTGGATACTTCCTGTCAGTCCTCTAATATTAAAGAGGATGGGAAAATGTGGAACACTGATAACACTGGGCCTATAGAAGACTAATGAAAAGATGGTACTTATGATTTATGCCTTATAGGCCTCTATAATGCTTAGAGCAGTGGCTTTCAATCTGTGGGTCATGACCCCTTTGACAAACCTCTGTCTCCAAAACATATTTCCATTACTATTCCTAACAGTAGCAAAATTACAATTATGAAGTAGCAATGGGAATAATTTTATGGTTGGGGTCACTACAACATGAGGAACTGCATTAAAGAGTCACAGCATTAGGAATGTTGAGAACCACTGGCTTAGAGTATACAGTGTGAGCCAGCATCACATCAGTGACCATATTTTATTTCCATTGGGCAACACCACTGTAGACTAGCCAAATTTTCCCATGGCTGTAGATTTGGGGCTGGACCTCAGACATATAGAGATTGATGGGTTCAGAGAATTGGTATGAGATGTCTGGGAGAGAAGAGTGCCTTGAGTACATAGGGACTACATTATAAATCTTGCTTGTGATGGGGTGGGATGGATGCTGCTCTGTCTCAGAGTGCAAGGTCTGAGTCTTCTGACTCTAGCCTTTTTTGAGTTCTGCACACTGAAGACCCAGATTTGCCTGTGTGAGAAGTGTAAGGTGCATATATACACATATTTGTATGCATATACAATTTGCAAGCTTGTCCCAGGGCTTTCATGATCAAAGCTGGGACTTGGGGCTTTGATATAATGCCCAAGAGCAGCTAAACTGAACTATCAGCTAAAATAAAGTTTAAAGATGTGCCTACCAGCAGAGCAAAGTGAAGCACCACCCACACAACACCAAGAGATGTCACCAAGAGATCGTATCTGTTTCTTCTGCTTTGCCAGAACCCAGCTGGTGACATTGCTATAATCTTCATTGTAACCTAAAGAAAGCAAGAAAGGACACAAGGCAAGTGTTTAGGCATGTTTAAATCAATTAACTAAGTCATGTTATATATAATTAATAAAATATATAGGATATAACTATAGGATATAGTTAATAAAAGAGTTAATCACAAAGATACATTTTTTTAACAGACAAGTAGGCTGCATATCTCTATTCTCTACACTCTTTCCCCTAGACTGATGTATAAGTACTCATTGCAGGCTATTTTTCTACCTTGAGTGAAAAACCGTATTTTGGAAAATGAGCCAGTTTACAGAAAAATGATAATCCACTTGAAATTCAAAGAAGATTGAATGATAAATAGATGTGACATAGGGAAAACATTTTAGATAATCTTGGCTGTACTGCTGGCATGTTTACATCTGTGCTGTAATCTGAATCCCTGAGTAACAGTGGCTTGTGTCCTGTGCTCCAAACATGCAAACCCTGTTACTAGGCAGGCCAACACTCAGACACAACAATTAGTAGGAATGTTTCAACAGTTAGCAAATTTGGAAGTATAAAGTGAAGTCTTTGTTAAAGTTAAGCAGAACAGCCCAAAAGGAGATGACCATGAAATCCACCTCTTCACAAGACAAGAGGACACAGAGCTGGAAGTAGGTACCATCAAAGTGGGGTACTGTCTTTCTTTTGATTGTTCTTAGCTTCCACCAGAGCAATAGACTCATTACTGTACCTCTAAGACAAAGATGAAGGTGAAGACAACTGACATTGTTGCCAAAGGAACGGTCACGGGGTCCTCGACGTCCCACTGCAACCAGAACACAAGTCACTGTAACATCGGCTAGACAGACTTTTCCCTCTCTGCCACTCGTCTTAGCATACGCACCAATTTTTACTTTTACTAAAGATCAGAGGCTGCAAATGACAATGCCCAATTGCAATGCTCCTGGATACACCAGAGATGTGAAATTCACTCCAAAAGTCTCAGGGTGAAACAATACCTTGACAGATAGCAACACAGACTGTGCCAGAACCAGCAATGCGATGGTCCTCTTAAAAAACGGATGCTGGGTTATGTCATACATTTTAGCTCTAAAACCATCATTATCTGAAAAAGAAAGGTATAGGCGAGGGCACTTTAGACACGGGTCAGATTTACTTTCTTGTCTTTCATCCTTTAATGTTCATCTTGAAACCCATTACAGCCTTCCCCCCCAGTTCTGTCTATTGTGAAGTGCTTTGCAGGAATGGCTGGCACTCGATTTTAAAATGACAGCACACAGCACCATCCGCATTGGAAGGAGAAGTGTATCATTCAATTTCTGGCAGCTTAATATATTTCCCTAATATTTCTAAAAGGCAAGCACAAATATATTTTATTTAAAAATTCAGTTTTTTCATTAAGGCTTATTCAGAGAGCACTGAAGCACAGCCTTTAGGTGACTGATTTTAATAGCCTTACAGAGAGATCAGCAGTTTGGAGTCTGTTTCCATATTAACTTATGCACAACCCCCTAGTGGCTTCACGATTATTATTTTAATTTAAATCTGAGGCTCTTAGGGAGTCAGGAATACTAGTGCTCAACATGAATAAAATCAGAGCATCTTTGATACCGGGCCGAGGTGGGAGATGAAGAGGCTGTGCGATCTTCAGTCTGCTCTTGAGATCTTCCCATCTTCTCTGATCTACCGTCAGCAAAGCCGTCCCCTTGGAAACAAAGGAAACAGTGGAGGGAAAGAAAAGAACCAATATGGAGACTTGACAGAAAGACAGTCTGCAAGAACTGTAGGTTGGAGAGACATGATCAGAACTAGCAACACATTGAGAGGCATTCCCAACATGGATGGGTGCCTGCCTCCGGCATTCAGCAGCCTCTGCTGTGTCACTGAAGACCTGTAACATTTAGGCTTGAAAAAGTTTCAAGAATGTTTTCTACATAATTACATTCTCCAGAAAGTATAGTAACAAACTGCGGCTAGTTTAGTTTTATAGCAGCCAATCACAGCTTGTGTGTAGTGCTGCTGCTGAATGAGGGCATTTGTCCTTTACACATTTTTTTAAACACTCTAATATGTGCAATCGTAAGACTATTTTAGGAGATAAGAAGTCATAGAATTTTTCTATTTTAGGAATGAATGCTATGATAATTTGCTAGATGGGATCAGATATTCTGTGTTATAAAGTGGAGTACTTGATAAAAATGCACATAAACTATATTGCATCATATTATCCTACATTCAATTTTACTATACTACATTACAGAGGCATACATATAATTTAAGAAACTAGGGTTGGGGGGAATGTCACTCTTTTTCTCCACTTCCTTCTGTAAAGATAAGTGGAATACCCTTCTAGCTTGGTTTTCAGAAATGTGTGCTTTCTGACTGTAGAAGTACACAAGAACAAATTTGTTTAGAATTTTTAAATTGGTATAAATTGTATCCAATCTGTATTTATTTATGAAGCTTTTCTTTGTATTTAAAACAAGTCTTATTATTATTACATTTATTATTTATTTACTTGTGTGTGTGTGTATGTGTGTATGCACACATATGCACATGCCACAGCACACATTTAGAGGTCAGAAACATTGCAATGGTCTCTTTCCATCATGTGGATTCTGGGGATTAAACAGATCATCAATTTGTTGGGAAGTACCTTCACTAAAGCCATCCTGCCTGACCACTTTTCCCCCTAAGATTTATTTGTTTTATTTTATGTGTTTTGCCTGTATGTTGCATTTATGTAAATCATGTGTGTGCATTTCCCATGAGATTTAGAAGACTTGAATTCCCTGAAACTAGAGTTACAGGCACACACACACACACACACACACACACACACACACACACACACACACGAACCAACAAATTAAATTTGTGACATCTGGTAAAGTGGCTGCTAACTTCTGCCTCCCTCTTGGCATCTGTCTGGACTGACACACCATGCTCCCAAACAAGCTGTCACTTCCTGACTCTTTTAGGACGTAACTATGGTGTTGGAGGCAAACAATCCTCAGTAATTCACAGCTGTTTCAAGACTGACAGTTAATTATACAGTTCCGTCCTGTTACTGAGCATTGTATGCTGGGTCACTTATGTGGCGGACTTGTGAGCTGCCCTGGAGCTCGGTCCTCTTGCATCCAGGCACCTGCACAGGGACCTGTATACCATCCTGGACTGGCAGTGCCTCATCTCTCTAGTAATGGGCTGATTAGCCTCTTCCTATATTCTGGAATTCCCAGTGTCTGCTACACCACATGTCTCAAAGGCATCTGAAAAGATACATCTTTCTCTTTCTGCTCGGCATTAAACTGAACACACTGAAGGGTTAGAGTGTCTCGTTTGTGAACGTGTTAGGAAGTAAAATAGAGGGGCTGGGTGACATGATTGCTATTGCTCCAAGAGTCCATGATTCTGAGGACTGGAGTAGTATTGGGGTCCAAAGGGGGATTTTTAAGCTGTAGTCTTTGAAAAGCTGAATGAAGTGAAATGCTCATTAGGCACACATCAAAGGTGGCAATTGACTGAGTCAGTGGTACCACACACGTTGAGCCTGGGGACAGTGAATGATATAGTCTCACATGTAGCTACACAAACCAAAGAGCTCTGTCTCGGATGCATGAGAATCAGTCATCACTGTGCACAACTGAACAGCAGGTGCTTCACAGGCAAATGGAACTTTGCCGTTTAGAGGTTTTAATGCTCTTGCATTCGAAGAATCATAGACCCTGCAGTTGTAGGAAAAGAGTCTGAATGTGGGCTCAAGTGTTTATTCCTTATAGTAGTGGCTTTCTCATGCAGACATTGCAGTGTTTTGAGATCTGGCAGAAGCTTTTTCTGTCCAGTGAGTGTTTAAAACTTGTGCGCATTTCAGTGTGATTCCTGCAGACAGAACCTCTCCCAAGAGAGTTTAACCAGCCTCTCCCAGAAAAACAGTAGCCAAGGGACACTAATAGAATGTTCTTCCTTAAACTTGTGCTCCCTAGGAAACCACATTGCTGTTTTCCTATCCATGATTCTGTATCCATCATGAGAGCTGTTAAGACTGAGGGTGCTTCCTGAGCTCAGGAAGTATGTAAAGTTTTTAAAGATGTAGAAAAATATTTTTATTCTATGAACTGACCTTTGCATTTTATATGGCTTCTACCTACCTTATCAAAATTCGGAGTTCACTCACTGAGTAACGAAGCACACAGTTCACATTTTTGTAAAGGCAGTATGGACTGCAATCAGAGCATAACTTCAAGCTATCACATTTTAGTAGTCCACTGTACATCCATCTCATCTGAACAACAGGAGATGTGCTTCTCAGCTGTGGGTGAATTACTGTTACCATAGGGTAAATTTAGCAAGAGAATTATATTCCTAAATAATGAACCAAAACTGCAGCAGTGATGGGGCTTGTAAAAGACTTATACAGGTTAGTTACATGAGTCACATTTTAATTTAATGTGGCTCCATGCCGTGTATGGAAAAAATTAGCTTAAAGCAAGGGCAAGAACAAAAATTAAGTCTGTGCTATTAATCTGAGAAGACTTACCTTGTTTTCATTGAAGTTAGCAATAACTACACCAACAAAAAGTGTCAGTCCAATCATGCAACCCAGGAACACGAAAACATGGATATAGATTCCATGGATCTGTATAAATGAAAGATGCTGTTTATTAGAGCCAATGGTAACCACCCTGGATGTATGTAGAAAATTCCACGTGCTTGCTTACCGGCCCCACACGATGAATAATGACATCTCTCACTTCTACCCAGCCTTTCAAGGACAGAACTTCAAACAAGGCTAGCATGGCATTTCCCACATTGTCAAAGTTAAAGTTCCGAGGATTTGCCCTGCAATTAGGAAGAAGGGATGCTGGATGAGGGTCCAGTGCACACCCAGTGTCCAGTACCTCTAACCTGTTCTAATTTTGGGTGGAGTCCTCAACTGGGGGAAGTTAGGCCATGCAGCACTCCTTTGATAAGATAGCAATGTGTTTGTATGCTATCAGTAGCCATTACTGATTCATGATTCCTTAAACACTTGGCCCATCATTCTTTATTTTCTTTGTGGGGAAGGGATGCACAAATCTGTTTTCTAATAATTTATACTTTCTGATTCTCAGTTGTGAAAGTGTTTCTTTTTATTACCTTATGGGTCTTAGCTAACATATTCTCATTGTTAGTAGAATACATTTTCAGTGTTTTCATCCTGTTTTCTTTATGAGAGGCTATTTTAAATAATTAAAAGATTTAAATGATTTTAATGAATTCAATGAATTTAAAGACTGCTTCCCATCTGAGGTTGATAGAGAATATAGCCTTGAGCTGTTGAATATGGTCATCCCACTGCCTCCTTCTGTGTTATGCTTTCATCAGTTTTTTCCATGCTACCTCATCTATCAAAATTTAACCTTCATGAAGTCAGCACTCTAGAGAGGCATTTGGTTCAATATTTTTCAATCTTTTATGCTTTCTTAACTATAGGAACAGTCATTAGATGTGTCTTTATAATACATGTGGATCTAATGAGAAAGCCTAAGACTTGCAGCTGACTTGGTCCTCAGGGCTTAAGGCTGATTGTCAGACACATTTGGTATCAATGTAGACGCTCCACTCAGATATTCATATTTTAGAATTCTGATTTATATTTCTGTATGAAAGTACAAATATACCATCTTGGATTTTTGCAATAATCTTTCCTTGGGGAGGGTATCAATTACATTTCCCATCTTTTAGAGTAGACAGTGGTTATAGGGACTATGCATACCCAAGATTTGCTTGCATAAGGACTGAAAAAAAATAAAACCAAGGGAACTAGCTCTCAGATCCAATGTCAATCTTTCTTACTCATCTGTTTTCTTTATGCAAAAGTGCCTTTGCAGCTAAATTTGCAGCAACTTAAACTGCTTTCATGTCCCACATATTTTAGAGGTTAGAAAATGCTAAGAAAATATTTTTAGGCTAAATCAAGAAAAACAAGGCACACAGTTGAAAGAATATAACGCATTTTGAAAAAATAAGATTTTCCAGTTCAATCATATGAAGTATTTGTTTATGCTGTGCTATCAAAATGGTCAAGTTTGAAATTTGATCTGTAACTCCAGAGGGCTTCAGTAAGTCCCAAACATAAACCATTACCGTCATTTCATATACTGCCCCCATTTGAATTGTAAGGCTGTTTAAAACATCTTTTCTGGTTAATTTTTTTAAAATCTGCAATCTTGTCTATCCAAGTCATAAAACTAAAACTTGTTTTGACCTCAGAATTTGGTCATTCTTTTGCCTCCTGAAGAACATGAACCAGAGCCCCTGAGATTACAATCAAGCTAATGGATCCTTCTCTGAGGCAGATGGGCACTATGGAAAATGTGATCTTGCCTGTCTCTGTCTGTCCCAGTTCTTCCATACTTACCTGCATCTGGCCCTTCGTTCTTTCCCTTTCCCTGGTCTCCTGTCCCTAGTCACACCCCTCCTTCTTACCCTTCTTCTCCTTGCCACTCCCTTTTTTCCTACTCACCTGCCCCGGTCCCTTCCCTTTCCTCATGTATTTCCTACCCTCTGTCCTTTAAAATGCCAGTGTGCTTTCTCCTCTGACCCTTTGGTGGTATGAGGCATTTTGGGCTAGGGTCTCCTGTGTGCCATTCTTTGCACTTCTGCCATTTGTAGAAAACAGAGATGGATATTGAAGAAAACAAAAGAACTTTGATGTTGCGACCTCTTCTTTGTACTGATCACTTCTCAAACTCTTGTATCTTACATTATTTGAGCCTGAGCCCCCATAAGACCCAATGTCCTTTTGCCTAGAAGTATTTATCATCACTTAAAATTACCTGAAGAGTGAACTTTTGGTAAGCCAGAGGACAGGTTAGGGGCTGGTTGATGCATATCAAAACTCTTAGCATGTTATATGAAATTGTTTGTAATTTGTTTTCTATTTTCCACTTCAGGTTTCTAAGGGACAAAAGCCACAACTTACAGCTGAGTAAATGCCAAGCATTCCTAGTGACTGTGAAGTACAATTAGTAAAAAGCAGAATACTTTGTTTTTTTCCCACCTGTGCATGCTACTTCTTATATTCTCTTTAAAATAAAACACATGAGCCGGGCGGTGGTGGCGCACGCCTTTAATCCCAGCACTCGGGAGGCAGAGGCAGGCGGATCTCTGTGAGTTCGAGGTCAGCCTGGTCTCCAAAGCGAGTACCAGGAAAGGCGCAAAGCTACACAGAGAAACCCTGTCTCGAAAAACCAAAAAAAAAAAAAAAAAAAAAAAAAAAAAAACACATGATATTCATGATATAAGGTATGCTTAGTCCTTTTTGCTAAGGTAATTTTTAATCTCTTCAAGTCTGGATGATTCAGAGGAAAATGAATGTATTTTTATCTGAAGAAAGACTATGAAGCTAGTCTGTTTCCTGAATTAGACAGTGAATATTTATATCTTAATTTTAATTATCAAAACATTTCTTCAGGTATACTCCCATATATAAGTTATTTTCTTAATTACAATTTAGCTAATATGAAATTAAAAATTTCAGCTTTTAACTCTAACTAGATTAAAGAAAGAAAATTTAAAAAGTGTCAAAACTACTGTTGGCATTTACTAGACTGAAGATTTTTGTTTCACAGTGAACCCAGGCTACAATCTAGGACAAACAGGCAAAGACCTGTGTGATGATGTCCAAGTGACACCTTATGTTTTCTTGGGATTTAAAAATGTTAAACTTGATCCCTACTCCTTAATAATAATGCAACATTATACTTAAAGTTGCATATAACAGGTTTGATGGAGAAGCTGAATGCTACACAGGTCTGGGGCAGGTTTGTTTGTCTCAACACATCACTCTGCAGTGAGTTCTGGCTCCTGTCCTGACATCTTCTGAGGCTGCAAAGCTTTTTGATCACATTTTCATAAGGTTAGAATCTTCCTCGTATAGGAAGCATTCAACCTAGACTTCACAGCTCAACCACCTATCACCAGTATGGGAACACTAGGGGTTCTATATCTCTGTGTTATAATGTCTATGTTCCAGAGTCTGGTGGAATCATCATTAGTTTGCCCTATCTTCCTGTGCCTTTCCAGGAACCAGGAAATCCAACAAACAGCATTTCCCTATAATTTTCTTCTGCCTGTGACTAACCTTGGTGTTTCCCTGTGTGTACCCCCACATGGTGTGGCACACACTCCTCTTGAGACTGTTGGCAACAAGCTACCTTTTCAATGCTGGTTATCAACTCATCAACTGGCTTTTTTATATTTCAAATTCTCTATTAATCCCCTACAATGCTCAGTTGCTCCATTCCTGATATGAGTTTCAGCTCCTGCACCTAAAAACACACCAGGGTTTTCTTCAATGGAGCCTTCCTCTTCCCTGCACATAGCCCTTTGCAATAGAATTCCAACTAAGATGGTCCAGACAGGAGGCTCTAAGAAAGGACCATAACACCCATCAGGTATATGAGGTAGTTGGCTTTGGCAGGTGGAAAGGCAGCTTTGCCCTGAAGCCTCTAGCTGCTCTGCCAAGCTCTAATGCTAAGGATTCTCCTATGGGGCTCATTTAACTTGGATGGGGAGCACCTTGGCCTCCCTGACAGTGAGAAGGGAGGACATCATAGCACTTTCCCCCTGACTCATTTACTCTCCTGTTCTGCTTGTGTTGGACGATGGAGGGTGATAAGGCCTTAGTAAGTTCTGGAGAGTTGCTGTCTTTAGAATTAAGATCAGCTTTGAGGTTTTAGCCCAAATCCCAGAACAGCAGATGGAAAACTGCATTTGATGTCTTGATATAAATAAGTTATTTATGGTACAATGAATATTCACCTCACCAAAATAAACCTTTTATTCTTCTTCAAATTTTTATTTTAATGTAAATTAGACCAGTTTTCTAAGTGAGTATTGGATAAGAGTTTCCCCATGAGTCATATCCCTCTTCTCCATGCTCAAGCCCTATGTCCTAAATTAACTGTTTTCCACAGTTGTTAGATGTTAAAAAAAAACCAATAGCAATCATATTGAATTGTTCATTAAAGTGAATTTTATATTAGAGAAGTGCCAAAACAAGATAAAAATGAGTCAGGGCTATAGCTGGGAGAAATGTGATTCCTTTGAAAAAAGTTTTGATGAGTAGAAAAGAAAGTCAGTTGTGACAAAAACAGGGTTTCTGTGGCTCACTCATTAGTCTTAAAGGTAAAAAGAAAATTTAAAGGGTAATTAAAAGGTCAAAGGAAGTTGGTAGGACACTGAGTTTATTAATGAAGTGGAAAAATTCTATTCATAATCATTGATAAAGCAGATGAGAAAGAAGTTATTGAGCAGGTCCCACCTTTGGTGGAAATATTTTGAAAACTCATTTCCCAGAAAAATGGATTTTAAGGAAAGAATTGGGTCTAATCATCTACACTAGCAATTATTCTTCTCTAGTGTTTCAACAATGGAGATCTGTCAGTGTACATGGGTTTTGTAATTGAAGTAGCTTTATAATTTAGAGTTCTCAGTCACTATTATAAGGACATCAGCCCCTCTTAAAGATATAAGCCCAGAATGAGTTCAGCTTTAATGTGATTAGATATATTTGGTTTTAAGGCTTCATTAATTTTAAAAGCTATTTGCATCCAGATATGTACTTTAATTCATTAGAAAAACACCAAAGTATCATTTCATTAGTTTCACAAATAAACATGGGATTCAATGTACCACTTGGTTCTTATTTTTTTTTTAATGCTACAACTCAATGCTTTTCCATATATTGTTTTAAAAAACTCAATATTTTTAAAGAGAATTATTTTAATCTCATGCCAAATTATCATGATTTAAATTCCAATATGAATAAGTGTAATATTGCTTTAGGATATATTTCTGATGAGCTTACCAAACACGGGGCACCCAAAATCCAGGCTTTTTCTCTCCTGGTCTTAATTTCAAATTTAAGTTCTTGGACACACTTACATTAATTCTGAAGATGCCATTACAGTCTTCCTAAAGTAGGAGAAAGAAAGGAAGGAGGGATCCTGGTCAGAAGTGAACTCTGAGAAGAAAAGATTCATTTCCTATGCATGAATCCTAGTGGAGGCTTCGAGTTAATGCTGGCAAAGTCTCTAAATGAATGTTTCCCCAAAGAAGTCACAGAGCGACCAATAAAGATGCTCACTAACATAAGACACAAGGGAAATGCAACTCAAAGCCACTGTGAAGTATTATTTTATACTCACTGAGAACTCTGCGATGAAATGGTTAAAAAAGCTATGGAGAACAGAGACCTTCATACTTGGAACCAACACAAACCATAAAGCTAGGAATGGGTAGTGTGGTCCAGCCACTGTTGGAAATGGTCTAGCCTTCCCTTCAGTGATTGAACAGACCAATGGGTGCTATGCTTTGGACATGGTTTGCGTACATACTCTGAGGATCCTATGCAGGAAGCTTAGTTCACAGAGTGTGCCATGAGAAAAAAGGGGATCTTATAAGATCAGAGACCCGGTTGTAGCTAAAGTTTTCCTGACTGGCCCACAGTCAGTACAAATCTCTCTCTCCTGCCAGTCCCACAGCCGTCAGACCCAACCAAGTAAACACAGAGACTTATATTGGTTACAAACTGTATGGCCGTGGCAGGCTTCTTGCTAACTGTTCTTACAGCTTAAATTAATCCATTTCCATTAATCTATACCTTGCCACATGGCTCGTGGCTTACCGACACCTTCACATGCTGTTTCTCATCATGGCAGCTGGCAGTGTCTCTCTGACTCAGCCTTCCACTTCCCAGCTCTATTCTCCTCCTTGTCCCGCCTATACTTCCTGCCTGGCCACTGACCAATCAGTGATTTATTTATTGACCAATCAGCAACACATTTGACATACAGACCATCCCACAGCACTTCCCCTTTTCTTTTCTTAAAAAGGAAGGTTTTAACCTTTACACATCTCCAAAGTCAGCTTGGTATATTTGGGAATTTGGGCGTAGCTTCTCTTACTACTTCCTGCTGGAGGGGGGCGCTGTATCTTCTGGGGAAACAAAGAAAATTTTAGGATCATGGAGTAGTCCATGAGGGTGTATCGTCTGAGCCAGTTGCCTTCAAACGGTTCTGGATGTTGAATCATCTGGGCCATGGTGTCATCGGAGACCTTTCAGGGGGTCTTGGCTGGTCAAACCTGATGTATCTTAATCTGGAACAAATCCTTAGCCTCTGGCTTTCTGTGGGAACAAAAGAGACTCTTTTCCAAAGCAACATATCCTTACATCCTAATTTTAAAGTCAAAGTACCTTTAAAATATACATTTTGGCATAACTCAACAGCTTTTGTAATCAAATCAGTTACAAATATCAAAGAGAACATAATCCAGATTCTCTGTGTAATATCCATTTTTACGTGGCTTATTTTTTATACTACCTTTACTGTCTCTTTAAAGACTTTGTTTTTTAAAACTATGTATTTGTTTCTATAACTCTATATATCATCTTTTTTGTCTCTTTCAAGCCTACGTATCTTTTATACACATTGTAAACTATTACATCTGAATCTGTCTTATTGTGAATCTATTGCCTTAAACTGCAGCAGCTGTGGCTGCTGGCTCCGCCCACCTCAGCTTCCCAACATGGCGGTGGTTTACCGCCAGCTCTGGGAGCTTTCGTGGGACAAATCTCTATCACCTGCCAGTCCCACAGCCGTCAGACCCGACCAAGTAAACACAGAGACTTATATTGGTTACAAACTGTATGGCCGTGGCAGACTTCTTGCTAACTGTTCTTACAGCTTAAATTAATCCATTTCTATAAATCAAATGTGTTGCTGATTGGTCAATGAATAAATCACTGATTGGCAGTGGCCAGGCAGGAAGTATAGGCAGGACTAACAGAGAGGAGAATTGAGAGAACAGGAAGCTGGGTGAGAGAGACACTGCCAGCCGCCATGATGACAAGCCGCATGTGAAGATGCCGGTAAGCCACGAGCCATGTGGCAAGGTATAGATTAATGGAAATGGCAGGAAAACTCTAGCTACACCCGGTGAAGGTCGTTAGATCAGTGGGGTGCTGTTCTCACAGACATGCATGCTAATTCCTGACTTCTAGTTCTCACAACAAAAACAATAAGTTGTTACAAAAGAGCAAGGCTAGTCATTTCCTAGTCTTTGGCTTGCAGTCTCACTGCTGTCTCTTCTCTTACACACACTCTCACTATGTCATTTGCTGTTATGTAACTAGCCAAGAGGGCCTTCACCAAAGGTTAAACAGATGGAGCTACCCACCCGCACTCTCCTGGTTTCCACATCTATTAGTTAAGTAAACCCTTTTCCTTTAAAAAAAATTCCAACATCACGTATTTTGTTATGGCCATGGGATATTATTATACCAAATCCAGAAAACATGTCTATAAATAAAATAAAAAACCGTTACAGAAATGTCTACGCTGACAATGTTCATAATAGTCAGAAGGTGGAAACACAAATGCCCATAACTGGACACACAAAAACAAATTATCATATATTCATTTGCACAGTGGACTAGCCATAGAAAAGGATGAAGTACTGATAAGTGATATACATAGATGGCAACTGTAAACACAGATATGCTAGGTTTAAAAAGACAGTCCCAAAAGACAAAAAAAATGACCAGTGGTCAGTTAGACTGGAGGTAGAGTCGGGGGTAAAGCGATGGAGGCAGCCAGCATATACAGGAAGTCTTTGTATGCTATAAAAGTGACCACATTCTCCAACTGCAGAACCTTCAACATGTCAATAGCCACTCAGTGGCATACTCCAATGGGGTGAATTACACAACATTTGAATTATGTCTCAATAAAGAGCTGTTAAAAGGGTTTATAAAGGGAAAGAATCATGTTTTTTTTCATTTTCTGTCCAATCTCCCTTTGGTTATTTTTGGCTAGGGTTATATTTTGAGCCCAAACCTGGGTTTGGCAAAGTTTTTGATCCTCATCTCTTCCTGGCTCCCCATTTCTGTCCGTGGGTTAGCATGCCATTCTTCTCTGCACCATAACCTTGGAATTGTGGCAATTTCCCTGGTGGATCATCTCTCCATTGTTTGTACGTGTGTGTGTTCCTGTGTGTGTAGAGGGTGACATCTGTGTCTTCTTCAATCATTATTTTTTGAGACAAGATCTCTCACAGAACAAGTAGGCTACTCTGGCTGGTCAGGAAGCTCTAGGCATCCTCCTATCTGTCTCCCACACACTGGGTTTGTCAGTGCAGGCTTTCTGTGCCTAGTATTTAACAGAGTGTTAGGGTTTGAACTCAGGTCTTCATTTTACATGCCAAAACTTTACCAATCAATCCATTTCCCTAGCCCCCATATCTCTATTTTTTATCTCAGGTGATTTAGTAATGGCAAGATTACTTCTTTCTAGATTGTCAGTAAAATTCTTTAAAATAAAAACGGACTGCTTTTGACCTAAGTAACAAAAGTATGAAAATTACAGGAAGGAAAATTTACTTGTAATTCCCAGAGACACACAGAGTTGATTTTCTGCTGTATATTCTAGTCTTTTTCTTATGCATACATGAAGTCTTACAGCTTTTTATCTTTTCATTCTTTTAAGCTAAAAATATACTGAAGTTATTTTTTTCATAATCTTATCCATTCATCTACATCATTACTTTTAAGGGATGTATTGTCGTATATTATATTATATAGAGGCCCCACAATGCATTTGTCCTTGCTGCCCCTTCCAGTTTTGTCTTTCTGAGCCCACCTTTCATCACACAAGGCATCCTGGTAGCCTAGTTAGAAGTACAGTATGTGGGGCCAGGATGCCTGCAGGTGAATCACAGTTTTCCTACCTATTACATGGATGACCTTCTGTTGCATGACAGGTTTTTTTTTTTCCAAATTGAAACATTCCCTTGAGGAGGGAGAAGAAGTCCCGTGAGACTCAGGAGATAAACAATGGAAGAACAGAAACTTGGAATGTTCTACAAGACCCATCCCCTGCAGTACAAAAAGGAGTAAACTGTAGTGGAAGGAGACTGGCTCTCTGAGCTGCAGAATGAAGACTTAGCTAAGAGATTTCTCAGACTGTTGAACTGCCTGAAAGCTATGCGGAAAGCTTCAGGGTTGTGACTTTGTTGAGCTTTTGCTGATGTGGGCTTTGTGGTGATGTAGCTGCTTATGAGTCATCTCTGCTTCTTGTAAATAACCCTTTACCCATACTCCAGATAAAAACTCCATGGTGCACCAAGTTGGACACTGGTGCAAACATTACTTTGGTGTATCATGAGTTCCCTTTCTAGGGTGAATAGGTGTGTGTGTGTGTGTGTGTGTGTGTGTGTGTGTGTGTGTGTGTGTGTGTGAGAGAGAGAGAGAGAGAGAGAGAGAGAGAGAGAGAGAAACTACAGCTTCCACAAATTATTTAAGTTCTCTGTACTTGCTTTCCTCATTAATACTATGTAGGTAACAAACACAGTCTGAGGGATGGTACTCTGCTTTGTGAGTCCTAAGGAGCTAAGAAGTGCCGTGTCCTCTCCCAGACCTTTGAGGTTTCTTATTTCTCATCGACGAACTTTCCATCTCATCATCACTGTCTGCCATCAGAACCTTGTGAATCTCCAACTCAAACTTCTGGCCTTATTTGTAGTCTCATCAACATGGAAGGGAAATGAAGTTTAAGAGTGACTACCTGTGGTGATATATTGTGTACCCTAATAAACTTGCCTGAGGACCAGAGAGAGGACAGAGCCAGCCACTAGATTAGACATAGAGGCCAGACAGTGGTGACACACACCCTTAATCCTATCACTCGGGAGGCAGAGATCAGTTTGGATCTCCGTGAGTTCAAGGCCACACTGGAAACAGAGCCAGGCAGTGGTGGCACATACCTTTAATCCCAGTACTGGGAAACGCACACACCTTTAATCCCTGGAAGTGATGTCTGGGCAGAGAAAGGTATATAAGATGTGAGGAGACAGGAACTAACTCTCTTTAGGCTGAGGATTTCATTGAGGTAAGAACTAGTGGCTAGCTTCTCTGC